CAGAATTTATGGTCTACATAGTTTTTTAATTTCAAATTACATATCAAAAAACGATTAATTATTATGTCGTTGTGTTTCTTAGTTTGGATCATATCCTGCAAAGTTTTGGAGAAATTCTGTCATTTGTTGCCCAAAGATTTCTTTTCGTTGTGTTGGACACCAAACATATTTTGAGTCAGTAATTTAATAAAATATGAAATTACGATAGTGGTTGACATCTTGAAGCTTCATTTGCTTCAACTGATCGTTGAGAAGAAATGTTATTTTATGAATGAAGACATAAAAAATTGGTCTAACAACTATCCCGATAACCACAAAATGTAAACATTGTAAACTACGTTCGCTCGTTTATCCATTAAAAGTGACCGCATAGATTCTCAATATTATTCGAATGATCGTGAGTGGCTCGGTATACATTTTAAACTGGTTTAGTAATATGATGGCATTCCTATTTCAACCCTGGCTGACTTATAATGACAGGTTTTATAACAATCTGTATGCATCTGCTTCATTGCCTTTTCTTTCGAAAGGTGACCATTTATCTTTCGAAAAACTAAACAGAACGTTCATAATAAAATATGTAAATAGAAAAATGATACATAGTATCTACGTATTCATTGTTTTGCTATTTAATTCATAACCAAATTAAAGTTAACTATATGTGACCAGTGTTATGGAACCATTTAAAATCATAGCGTAGAGAACCTCTGGTATCCAATATCGTAACTTTATATTTAAGTAAAATCTGTAGAAATTTAAAAAAAAATGAGATCAACATGATTGAACATGACTTGAAATTGAATCACATTGATTCAAGTACTTGAAAACCAATCACGATAAGCTGCTGTTAGAGTAGTGTCAATATGTTTATTGAAAGAGAGGGATGAATCAAAAGTAACACCTAGATCAGTGAGTGTGTCAGGACGCTCCAGAACTTGACTGTTTATAACGTAGTTGTGTAAATTCAAGTTCGTTTTCAGTGAGTAAGACAGTACATTACATTTGGATATGTTGAGAGATAGATTATTCTTCCGACACCATGTAGCAACGCGATTTAAATTCAGGGCGAGACGTTCGCAATCATCAGAACATGTTATATTGTGATAAAGTTTCAAGTCATCTGCGTTTAAAAAGAAATTGACATCAATCTCAGCTCCGATATCATTAATGAAGATATTGAACAGTAGGGGTCCTAGATTTGATCCTTGTGGTACACGAGATGTGGCTATATATTCGATAGACTTGAGGCCATTGAGTTGGGTACGACTTGAAGAGGGTAATTAATTCATTGGATAACCCAAAAGTCGAAAGCTTGTTGAGCAGGAGACTATGAATTTATTTATATTCTGTTCAAATGTTTTTAGCTATTTTAAATTTATATCTTAGTACTTAATGCATGAATCTCATTCAATGTCAGATTCAGTATTCTCATTCCTCACACACAGGCACATCTTTTGTCTCGTAAGATGTATTTTATTTGTTCACTGTTCATTTCTACATGTTCATGTATATTTACTGTAAACAATTTTAAGAAAGTTAATGAATAGATATTATTATTATTCAACCACAACACTTACCATCTACTTTTCCCATAGCCAAAATACTGATAGTCTTGATAGCTGGTATAGCCCAAGCAGCCAGATGAAAATACTGCGAGTTGGCCTCTATGGCCTCATGGCCCCACTTCAATCCAGCGGCCAAAAACCACGTCAGAGTCAACACCACCCACCAAATACTTGACGCCATACTAAAAAAGTACAACACCATAAAGAGAATCGTGCACAGCTCGTACTTGGTACCCTGCGTGATGGTACTTTCAGTGATGATCCCGTGCTTGCTGGGATATGGTTCCCGACAAGCGATCACGTCACCCGCGAGAAATCCTATCACGTAGGCTATGGCGACCATCATGTAGCACACGGAGAGGAAGATGATGGGCCGTTCCGGGTAGCGAAACCTATCAGTATCTATGAGGAAGGTGCAAACTGTGAACAAGCAACTCGCGGTGCATAGTATCGCCCAGGTACCAATCCACACGCGGGAAAACTGCCTCTTGTTTTCGAAAAACATCAGGTGACACGGCGCCCCACAGTTTTTCTCAGTCTTGTCTCCCACTTTGAAGGAGTATTCCAGAACCTCAGGAACTTTGAACTGCTCAGGGCAAACGAAGCCGAAATCTTTGCCGTGGTAAGGAGACTTGAATTTAGGCACTGGATGATACGGAACAGTTTCAGTGGGAGGCGTAGGAGATACCGTGTTGTTCCCCACGCAAAGGGGTTCTGGTTGCTCGGGATCCAACCCTTTATCGGGGAACTTATCACAGTTCAAATTATCCGGCCACGGGAACCCAAAATTCAGCATGATACCCTCGCACCCTAACTTGGAGGAGATGCATAGCGACCTACATGGAGGAAGGGGGTGGTCCAGGATGGTACACACGGGCATATAGACGGAACACAAGAAGAACTGTAAGTCCGGGCTACAGTTGATCTTCACCAGGGGAAAATACTGGTGAATTTCCATGCCAGCGTCTTCCAATGTCGTATGCCCCAGCAAGTTCGGCAGGATCGTCTCGTTGTACTGGATCCCGGTGCAGAAAGGTATGTTTATCCTCTGACATTTTCCGTGAGGAGGGATTTCATCTTCGATAAAAGTATCGTGCTGCAGAGAGGAACACCCGCACATGAGTAGCGTCACCAGAACTAAACACCGCATGTTGATGCACAACACTTCACTTTTCCTGAGAGAAATGTTCATTCATTGTTTTGTTTATCCCTGCGCGTAAACGTACTTGCGCGAGTTACCGGAGAGCGATACGAACTTCTCAATAGCACGACATAAACTGAAGCACGCCGCTTCATTCTGGGATTGTTCGTTTGAAATCGATTAAGTTCGGCGGTTAGGGTCGGCGTTTCTCGTTGACCAGCCGCTAAATCGAGAGATGCTTGAGGAAAGAATAGGAAAAGAAGGTAGTTCATCTTCGGAGAGGTTTTTGGTTGTTTTTAGATTTTTGGAAGCGTTGCATCTATTTTGAGAATTGGGATAATAAGTTCATGTTCGTGATTGAATCAAATATACTTCAATGACAACAGGATGAAACAAGTCAACTTCATACATCCCAAAATTAGGCGATTTATTTTATTCGACTTTTGAGGGTTGTCGTTAACGAAAAAAACAAATTTTAACATATTTCAGAATCGCTTGCATAACTATATGAGCATCATCAGGATTTTATACGATAAATCCCAATGGGTTGAATGAGTCGAAATGAAATACAAGTCACATATTTATGTATGTCTGCATTTATATACAGTGTGTCCGCAAAGTATGGAATAAATTCAATATTTCCAAAACCAAAGGTCGTTTTACAAAAACCTGAAACACGTCGATTTTAATTTTAATATTCTACATTTCACAACAAAACTTCATTATACATGGTGGTCCATATTAATTTGACGACGTCATCGGTAATTTTGTATTTGTATTTGGTGTCAGTTTTAGATAATCCGTAACGAGCTGATCCCGAAAAGGTATGATACTTGAGGTCTAACGGACAGAATTTGAAAGATGTGCGCTCAGAAAATAAATGTTATTGATATTGAATAAAAGTAGAAATTAATTAATTATTTTATATTTTTTTCTAAT